GCCTAAATTACAACATATTATATTTTAGTAGTATTATGACCGCGCCATAGCTCAAGCGGTTAGTCGCTGGCTTCCAACCGCGGCGGCCCAGGTTCGATCCCGGGTCTGGTCAAGTGGGATTTGTGGTGGACACAGTGGCGCTGGGGCGGGTTTTCTCAGAGTACCTCGGTTTCCGCTGCCAATCGTCATTCCACCAAATTCTCCATCATCATAATCACCCGGGGCAGGTACAATAGGCCACTCAGTGGCCGCCCTGCCGAGTGGACTCAGCTGGGCTCCACCCCCCTAAGCGAATTTTTGTTATAGTGTTACGCATATTCATTGCACTGTACTTTGGCGTGATCATACTTCAATGACATTACTTCCATTATTAATAGTATTATTGCATTCCAGCGTCATATAGTGTGTGAACTATTTGTAATAGGTTCCGTCAACACAATTACTGTATCAATGGAACAGATTTATATTGTAGCTTTTTTTACTTTTCAACAAGTTTCAGCAATTTATCTCTATCATCAGGTAAGTGACCTGGCCTTCCCTCCAAAACTGCAAACATTGTCTAAAGTAGGGGAATAACAGTAGAGAAAGTAGAGTGTTAACGTAAAGTGTTTACCTGATGATGGCCATAAGTAGCCGAGATATGTTGCAAAGTAAAAAACAGTATATAAATTTATTAAATTTATGCAGGAATTGCGTCGACGAAACCAATAATAAATGTTAGTTCCACTTAAGTTCACCCGTATTGCAAGGAAACTTAATTCTTCTGGAAACCTAAAAACAGACAATAAACCAAAATGGCGCTAACGCGTACGTTTAAAGCAAAATCAAGTGTTCTAGCAATGTCATTCATAGTACAAAGTAGCTGTTTGCAGTACAGTTATTTTGTGTGCACGGTTCTGTAAGCCTTGATTTTGTATATGAATTGTTGGTTACGAAACTCCAATGAAACTGATATGATGCCAAGTTTTAAATTTATTTATTAGGCTTTGATAGTCACCCTGTTGTTTTGGTTTCTACGTGAAACAGTGTTTCTGAAATTGTTCCTACTTCTATCTTCAGGTGAAGAGGATTATGATGAATTCCTAGTCGGTCGGTATTCTCTTACTAAGGAGCAGGGTTGCAAATGGGGATAGCTGGGTGACGAGATTAATATACTCGTATGTATATGTGGGGGGGGGACATATTTTGTACGTTTTTAAGGCTCTCGGCGGCTTCACGTTTCCAGCTGATGCTAGAGTTGGTTCGTCCTCTTGGACTAATATTTTATACTTGTATCTGCAGTTCTTTGGTATCTTTACTGAATTTTCTAAATATAGTACAATAGAAATGTATTATAAAATGAATTCGCTACTTCGGTGAATTGTTCATTGCTATAATAATATGCAAAATATGGCAACTGTGATAAAAGATTTGAAATGAAAAAGAAAAGTCATCTATCCTGTTAACATTTTGTTTAATAAAATATCAAGTTCTTCAGCTACGTCACAGTCTGAAATATTGTTTCTACTTTTTTATAGTATTGTATGAAATCAATTAATTCTCCAAGAAATTAAACCAAACAATCGGAACTGGATCATTAAAAACGCCGGTAATGAGACACGTGATACTGTGTAGTAACTAGGGCGGAGTGTACTGCGCATGCGAATTATGAACATGTACCTGTCACCCAAGTGTCACCTACGAAATACGTAAGATGCAGTTTTGGTGCAGCTTGTAATTAAAAAGGTCGGTGTTGGAAGAAACGGGACAACTTAGCGTACAATTTAATCTTTGCTGGGGCCACGAGCAACCTCGCTCAAAAACCGGACTAGATCTACTTTTAGAAGCTGCATATCTGCTCACCGTTGGGGAGACTCAGGTATATGCCACCTCCATAGTTACAGAACTTCCTCTGTAGAAACTATTTGCAGTGTTCCAAAACGAGACAGACAACAGATACACTATAGCTGAAGCGGCACCACCTGTGATAATCAACCTCAGGTTTTTCAACTGATGCCTGAACGTCTATGCAGTTCTTGAAACCAATTTCCACCCCATTTCACGATATGTGAATGCCTGTACACATAGACCCGAAATGGAAAGGATTTTTCACATTTGCTCCACTCGAAGTCAGATATGGGTTCCATTTCCAAAAAGTTGTGGTTTTATACAACAGAGAACAGGACGATAGGCGAGTTTTAAATAAACAGCTTTAACAGTGTGACGCCCTAAACATCATTAACTGAGGTGGATTACGTTTCGTTTCGTAGGGCCCGTAATTAATTCAGATGAGTAGTCACGTGTACGGGGGTATCCGCGTGACTTAATAAGCTGGGTCTGATATTGGATGATTGAATTTATTGACACCTTATACATTCAACTCGGGACTACAGGTAATACAGCGCTATTGCTGAGCTACACAGTTTACGTGTACAGTTCATCGTCACACACGCACTAGGATTCAGTATTCGCCAGTCGTATCCTGGCAACGGATTTCATAACAGTCTCACTGTTATTTCAAATCAAACATGAAGTTTTCTTTGCACAGTCTAATTCTTATCTTGTCATTTCTTCTCAGTCACCTTCGACTGTCATCTCCAGAACTCGATCCAATTCTTGACAACTCACTCAAATGTCAAGTCTAGTCAAAGTCACACTGCGACTGACGATCAGTCAGTCAGTCAGTCAGTAAGTCTTGGTGTCGAGCCCCATCTGGGGCTCATGACCACATATTATTACTGTTTAACAGTTACAGTCTTGTTTTTGTGGGGCGCCCTCTCTGACGAGAGGACGGGTCTGTCTTTTGTATATGCTGCTGGTCCTTGCCAGTGCAGTTTTTCTCGGGTCAGAGTTCATTGGGATTCGCGACTATATTTTACTGCCTCAGATTTGAGACTTCCCTTTTCGTCGCCTCCTATGACTCGCAGGGTCACGATGGAAGTATTCCACCCCGCCTCCACACAGGTCTCAAACAAAGTCAAAGTCGCATTGCAACTGACGCTCAGTCAGTCAGCACGTCTTGGTGTCGAGCCCTATCTGAGGCCCATGACCAAATATTTATTACTCTTTGACAGTCACGGTCTTATTTTTGTGGGGCGCCTTCTCTGACAAGAGGAAAGGTCTGGCTTTTGTACATCCTGCTGGCTCTTGCCAGCGCAGTCTTTCTTGGGGTCCGAGTCCTTTTGGACTCGCGACCATATTCTACTGTTTCAGATTTTAGACTACCCTTTTCGTCGCCTCCTGTGACTCGCAGGATCACGCTGGAGGTATTCGAGGCAACCTACACACGGGTTTCACTCAAACGAAGTCGAAGTCACATTGCGACTGACTGTCAGTCAGTCAGTAAGTCTTGGTGTCGAGCCCCAGCTACTGTTTAACATTTACGGTCTTGCTTTTGTGGGGCGCCCTCTCTGACGAGAGGACGGGTCTGTCTTCTATATATGCTGCTGGCCCTTGCCAGCGCAGTCTTTCTTGGGTCCGAGTCCCTTGAGACTCGCGACCATATTTTACTGTCTCAGATTTGAGACTTCCCTTTTCGTCGCCTCCTACGACTCGCAGGGTCACGGTGGAGGTATTCGACACCGCCTCCACACGGGTTTTTCTTTCACTCAAACGACTTTTTTGTCCCTTTATAACCTCCAGGCACGGACCATGCAGAAAACACAGCCTCTCTATTCTTGAGAAGGCTTGTTTACTGCTCGTTGCCTAGCAGTGGGCATTCTATTGTTGCGCGAGTACGCTTCCGTGGGAATGTTTACAGAGTCGTTGAGTAGCAATGGGTCTATACATCACAATACATACCCTCACATTATATTTCTTCAAGAGTCTACGCTTATCGTTTACTATTTAGATTGTGTCCTTTGAAGAGATGCAATACTCTTTCCAAATTGACAATTTTATTAAATTAAGTAATATTTGTCTTTTTATACAATTATTTAATTGAAGAGTTCTATCTCTGGGATATAAGGCCGTGTAGCCCGTTGCTATCAATGTACTCCACGCTGGTTTCTCGCTTGGCTTATTCTTCGACCCGGAAGATGGAGGCGACGCGTTAGTCTGAAATGTCGGTTGACTTTCAAAGGGTTTGACGGCGTTATACAGATAGAGAACTCTTCACAACCACTGTTTTGAGTACCTCAAATCCTACATAATTATTGAACTCCTTCAACATATTTATAACAGGTCCCGGCGACACAATCCCTGTACAAATTGAATGAACTTATCCTGCTTTCACTTTACATGTTTCGGCCACTCATGGCCATCATCATGTAAGTCATTTTACGTTAACACTCTACTCTCACTGTTATTGTTCCCCAATATTGGCCAATGTTTACAATTTATGGGGAAGATCACATACGTCACATATAGTATTAATGCCAGCTGCAGTTCAAATGCAAGCTTTAGATTAGGTCAAAATTAATTTTAATTTTAAATTAAGTTTAAACAAAATTAAAAAGAATAAAACTGATAAATTATTGTTGTTATTATTATTACAATTTCTCTTGTAGTTTTTGGTCACTCATAAGCGATCTGTATTTCATATCACGATATAATTTTACATATTAAGGTAAGGGAAAAAGGTAAAGCTGTAGCTGTAACAGGCCGTGGAGGCCCATAGGGTTGTGAGACATCGAGGTTCCCACATTATCTAGATAACCGGCTCACAGATGACGTCAAGGTTGTCAGCATTACGCGCCTGCCTCTCTTTTCATGGTACTTGCGTCTAATTTCGTTTTATATATATATATACTAAGTGTTATTTAGAATCAGTGAGAAGAGGAATATCCTACACAAAATAAGAAAACGGAAGGCTAATTGGATTGGTCATATCTTACGCAGTAACTACCTTCTAAAAGAAATTATTGAAGGAAAGATAGAGGGGCGGATAGAAGTGACCAGAAGACAGGAAGAAGACGTAAACAGAGGATGGATGACCTTGGGGACAGAAGAAGATATTCTCGTTTGAAGGAGAAAGCTCTAGATCGCATTAAGTGGAGGAACTGTTTTTGAAGACAGTGGACCTGACGTCTGACAGATTACTGATGAATGAATATATATATATACACTAGTATATACACATACACACACTATTCAGGTGGGTGCCTATTAGCTTAATTGTAGCATTATGATATACAATTATATTCAGGTGTTGTTGATCTTTCATTATGGTTGGGCATGTGTTATTCTTACTCCTGTTGATTTTCCTTGCAGGACAGCTGTCATTTGTTTCTTTCTCACTGTTTAATGAGCTGTAAGCAAATGTTTTGATGTGAAAAGCTTTGTGCAGTTTGTCATCATGATCAATTGTAAGGTTTATTCTGAAGTTCATAATAGCAGAGAGAAATCTGTGGCTTTCAAATGAATTACCAAGATAAAATATGGATTAATAAATTTGTATCTCAATATTGATTACATGGAAGAGCATATTTTTTTTACGTATATCCAGAGGTATATAAGATAGCGACAACTACTGTTCTAGCAGTTAGCTAAATCATCAGTGTGATAAAACATCACTTATCAAAAACCTGACAACATGTAAAAAACAGGAGATGCAATGTGCAATAGAGACTGTATGTTGCATACATAGATGACCTAAAGAAATACAATTTTACTGTAGAACTTCCATGAAATACTGTTCATAATATTTTATAATTTGTAATTGTGAACCACATTTTATGATCTACAAGTGTAAAGCTAATTTCCTGTTACTGTCATGTCTCTTATAATTTCCCCAAGGGCAGAAACATGAAAGGGAATCCATATCATTTAATCTATTCTATAAAATAAATTATTATGGATGGCTTCTTATTCCAGTAATTACTAAAAGACCAAGGGTGAAGTTGTCACATACTAAAATATATAATAAACTTCCCTTCAAATTAATAAATTCAGTTTCATTATGATAACTTCAAGTGTGATTAGAATTTCCTTTGATTTTAGATTAACACAAAAGTGTTCTACATAAGCATTTTGCTGATCTGGGGATCCCTCATGCCTTTCAAGATCAAAAGGGCTCCCCAGCCAAATCTGGGAAATGCTGGGATCAAGGATTTGCACATGCATGTATGCATGCACGCATGAGCATGCAAATATACGCTCAAATTTTAATCTTACCAGATTATACAATAATTATATTCTGTTTAATATATAAATATTTCTATGTCAATGTGTTTTTTCTAACTTCTTTGTTTCTAATTGCTTCATATATGCTAGGAAGCATGTCCACATCATGCTACAGAATCCAACGAAAATAACACGATTCTGCTCTGGTATAATGGCAAAATTGACAGTCTGGATAACTGGCCATACACAGACACCAACCTGCAAGGAAATCATTCTGATAAGTAACAGGGCTGTCTGAGCATTAATATTATCTTTCTAGTTTATTTAACCCTTCCAGTGTTATAATTTAACAGAAAAGATGTCTGCACTGTATCACCGCAGAAATAAAATTCTTCGCAAGGGCTATTTACAAAGAGAAAGAGCAATCCTTTCTGGTTATTACACTACATGACAGATTATGTGCACAACATTCTCTTTAGAATAAACATTAAAAATAAATACCTTGCAACACCTGAGCACATGCTCAGAAACATATGTACATGCACATGATTTTGGAAATTCCTGCGTACAACAGACAGGGCTTCTAAAAACATAATAATCCCTTGATATTACATCCCAGACTTTTCACGAAACTAAGATATCACCTCTTATCCAACTACAAAGTTCCATTTTCTAGTCTCATAATTTTGCAGTAATTGAAATTCCTATATGCAGTATTTCTAGTAGATAAAGAGGTTAAACCCATTCCTGGAACCTCTCCTTACCTTCAATAAAAATTCCTTAACAGCTACATGGAAAAGGCTATGCCACAGCTCAGGCTTCTCACTGTGGGGCTTGGACAGTGTGGCAGTAAAGCAAGTTTTCTCTGAGGTTCTTCAGTTTTCCTCTACTAATCATTAATACGCATCTGTCACTGAGGTATACAACAACCTAACCAGGCAACATATTATCACATCCTTGATCCTTAAGTTAGGTGCTGCACATCTTACCTGTAACTTGGTTACAAGGGAAAAGTACGTTCTCAACTTTGCATACTGCATACGAACTGGCTAAATGTAGCTATAAATTGCTTTATACAGACATCATGCTGCAGCCAAATCCACTTCTTCATCCTTAAGGCAGACTTGTCAATAATCTGATAGTCATAATTTATCATTATATTCTTTATTCTGAATATGGTCCTGCCACCATATTACAATAATGCTTACTTGCATTGTTTGCCAAAACTTTGCTCTAACTTCATTTGCACCTTGACTACATGATTTTCCTTCCAAAAGACTCATTCCAAAAAAGAACGACACCATGGCAAATGGACCATAACTGAACTGTTCCACTACCGCCTGAAAAAAAAATAACAACTATCATAACATGCAAGGAAAGATAGGTAAATACAGAAAGCCTTGTCCTTACTATTCAGGTTTTAGCAAGTCCTGCAGTGACACGATAAATTAATAAAAGTCTGCATTTATATGGTTTCCACACTGCCAATTTACTTTCTAGATAAAAACGGCATAATGAATGTCCACATTCTTGAAAGACCTATGATTAGGAATGGCTCCTCATGGGTTAAAAGTGGAGTGATACTGTAACCATGCTACTATGCAATCTTATGCTATTATGAGGACTCTGCAATGGAATCAGATTGACAATTAACCATCTACAAAGATACATCATAGAGGCCCATGTAATAAACGGACTTAGATACTTCTCATTCCATCTGATACAAACATGACTCTCAAATTCAAAAGTTTCCTACATGCTTAGCCTTTTAAATAACTAACAACAAGTTACAGGGACAAACTTCTGACAAAACCTGTATTCAGTATTGGGCAGCTACATGTTGCTCTCTCAAGTGTTTAATCATTGAGCTCACTACGTGTTGCATCTGAGAAAAATGAGTCCGTCAATTGCGTTTAAAATGAAATGTATAAATAAATAAATAAATTGCATGGATATTTCACTAATAACCTTTCAGATCTCCTGGAGCAGCGTATGTTACACTCGCTACATCTAGTGTATTATGTTGATTCCACTTAAAAAATTAACATGGTTAAAATATTATTAATGCTAAAAGAGGGAGTGACCTTCCTACCAAGTATTAGCAAAATCGAGAGACAAACACACTGGTGCAACATTCATTGCCCTGTCCCTCAGAAGAACAAGCCTTAGAAGAATAATGAAAGTTTATACATAGCAAAGAAAAGGAAACCGAGATCACTGTAGGTATATAGTACAGTAAAGTACACAAAGAGTAATTAATACATGAATTTAAAGAAACTTACTAGCTGGGGGTAAACAGTGAAGAAACTGCAACAATAACAAACAGCACAATGAGATTACTGATCAGAATGAAGGTACAGAGAGGATTCATACATAATAAAAGCATAGTGAATGAGAAACTGTAACCAGCGCACAAAACAACAATCTTAGCAAACAACAAATAAGGATAAAATATTTATAAAAGTTAAACCAAATTTTATATATCCATGTCTGTGTGACGGAGAAGAGGACAATTATTAGCAAAGGTAAAGTAGGAGAAAATAATTACAAATTTGTATGTGTGATGATGGGAAGGAGAACAGTAAAATAAATCATATAATACAGTAATTTCTATGATAAATGTAAAATCATAATAACTATTATATATGTGTGTGTGTGTGTGTGTGTGTAACATATTACACAAGTATTAAAGTTCCTAACTTCTTTAGGGTAGGGTTTGCATATTGTCTTTATTTCTTAGTTACCCTATAGCCGACCCCACTTTCCACTACTGCTTGTACAGGAAATTCCTATACTTTATCCTAAACTTACATTTGGTATTTACCTTTCCAGGTGAATGGCATGTTACTTTGTTCAAACCAAGCAATGGGTCTGGGCAGGTAAAAAGACCCTCTTTCCATGACCACACTCTTATGCTCTTGCTGGGTTTTCTTTCATCACAATAAAAATAGACAGGCAACCTCACTCAACGCTCTCTGGCTCAACCAGAATAAAGTATACACATCTCTTTCACAAATTTCATTTTTTTATTTTTTGGATACATTCTCCATACGTATCATACATCTGTTCTTCTGATAGAAAAGTTTCTAAAGCACAGAAGTTTTATTTCGTTGCAGATCCACGGAGAATTATTTAACTGATATTCGATATTCTGTAGCTTATTATGTAACAAATCAGGTTAATTTAGATAAATAATTTGTTGGTTACTCCAGTGACCTTTCGTCAACATTCATAATCTCCTTACTACAGTAAATGGCCGCGCCACAGCTCATGCGGTTAGTTGCTGGCTTCCACCGCGGCGGCCCGGGTTCGATCCCGGGTCTGGTCAAGAGGGATTTGTGTTGAACAAAGTGGCGCTGGGCAGGTTTTCTCGGAGTACTTCGGTTTCCCCTACCAATCTTCATTCCACCAATTGCTCCACAATCACCCTCACCTATCATCTGGGGCTGGTACAATAGGCCAGAAGTGGCCGCAGTACAAGGGACTTAGTCCCACCCAAATAGCAATAAAAAAATACTATAATAAATTAATGATTCGTATCCAAATGTCTTTCACTGCAAATACTTTATCCAAAATTTACATTTGGTATTTAACTTTTCCTTTGTCACCACGGCATGGTGAGTCGAGTCCTCAGGTTGCGGATGCAGGAGATTGCTTCCAGATATGGATGGTAGCTGCAAATATATTCTCAATAAATATTCGCGGACATCCGACAAGAGGTGGTCCTCCAGCTTGGGGGTTAAGCGTGGGGCTAACAACTCCTCACCGAAAAAAATTAGCTTGCTAAAAAATGTCACAAAGGGCCTCGGACTTGGACGGATGCTAAGGAAAATGGACATAAGCTTTGGTACGTTGAATGTAAGAAGCCTCTATAGGGAAGGAAATTGCAAAATATAAGTTAGATATTGTGAGAATAGAGGAGGATCAGGTGGGACGGAGGTGGCACCGAACAAGTAGGCGAATATACATTTTCCCATGGAAAGGGGAATTGTAATAATTAATTTGGTATAGGTTTTTGAACCAAAGAGAAACATATCAGCAGTTATGAGGGTAGAGTTTATTACTGATAAGATGTGATACATTATACTAAGAGGTCGCTGCTGTGATATCGTTTTTCTGAATGTTCGTGCCCCAACAGAGGAGACAATTGACTTGAAGGACAGCTTCTACGAAGAACTAAACGTGTATTCGATAAATTCTCTAAATAATATGTAAAAATGTTGTTATGAGGTCTCAATGCCAAAGTAGATAATGAAGGAATTTTCAAACCAACAATTGGGAATGAAATTTTACACGAAATTAGTAATGTAATCTAGTGGTCCGATTCCTGGCTACAGATCCAAAGGTCCCAGGTTCGACTCCCAGCGCTACCCATTTTCTGAGAAATAGTGGGTCTGGAACGGGGTCCACTCAGCCTCGTGAAGATAACTGAGGAGCTATTTCGAAGAAATAGCAGCTCCGGTCTAGAAACCGGAGATTAACGGCCGTGAGGATCCGTTACGCTGACCATGTGACACCCTCTATCCGCAAAAGTTGGCACTAACTTCGCCGACAAGCGGCGGTCGCTCGGTCGATATAGTTCGCTTGCGGACTACAGGCCACGGAATGGAGTTAGTAGTAAACTTTGCCACACCCAAAAATCTGACTCAAAATTATAATGTTCCCGTATAGTAAAATTTATAATTTACTTGGACATCTTCTGGTGGACTCACAATTAATTTGGAAATATTTTCATAGACAGGAGACGGCACACAACCTTACTTCATGTCCGATCGTTCAGGGTACCAGACTGTCATACCGACGACTTGTCTGGTGGTGGCAAAAGTTAGGGAGAGACTGGCAGTGAGTAAACAACGCACAGTTTTCATATGAAGAGGTTCAATCTCAACAAATTAAACAAGGTGGAGGGTATAGAGCAGTACCGGTTTGAAATCTCAAATAGTTAGGAAAATTTAGATGCTGCGGTGGTTAATAATAGAGCTTGGGAAACTATTAGAGAGAATATACAAATTTCAGTCAAAGAGAGTATAGGTTATCATGAATTGAAGAAGCATAAGCCATGGTTCGACGAAGGATGTTCAAAATTATTAGATCAAAGGAAACAAGACAGACTGCAGTAGGAACAGGGTCAAAGTGAAATAAATGGGGATAACCTGAATAATATTAGACGCGAAACCAGAAGGCATTTCAGGAGTAAAAAGAGGGAATATTTGAAAGGCAAAATTGAGCATGCAACGAACAGTAAGAACAAGAACATTAGAGACTTGTATAGAGGAATAAATCGAGGGGTCACCAACCTAGAAGTAACTTGGTGATGGATGAGAATGGTGATCTGCTTGCAGATTCCCACAACATTTTGAATAGGCGGAAGAACTACTTCTCTGTTTTGAATGCATTTATGGTTGGTGATGTTATATAAATAGAAATACAGTAGAACTTGGTTATAACGTCATCAAAGGGACCTAAAAATAGTGTCGTTATAAACGAATGTCGTTGTAACCGAAATGGGCACTTCCACAGTAGCCTTATGTTAGTCACGTAAAAATCTACCAAAACCGAGTTAAAATGTTGCATTTTTTAGTGAAATACGTAGTTAACTACAGACTAACGTAACATTAACTTGGAATTGCCCAAATGTGTAATATCAAAGACATATTACAGCGCTTTTCACTGACAATACACACCGCACTAATACTGTATATTAAAGGTAGGCCTACTCACCAAATTACAGTAGATTACATCAATTGTTGTGCCTTACTGTACCTAGATACGAGTACAGTAATCAGTTATCTTCATCTGTTTCCTGTTACTTGCCCAATACACACTTTCTAAATTACGTTCAATGTCCATATCAGAGAAATTCAGGAATGAAAATGACGTTACATACGAGGTTGATGCATTTGTGCATGTCGTACTAAGCAAGGTATAAAAACAGTTGCTTTATGAGGAATTAGTTCGTACCATTGAATATTTGATGCAATAGACAAAGTGTCGCAGAAACCGATGTTGCTATAACCAAGTTTTACTGTACATACAGCTGAGCCGTTAGTACCCGATCCTAGTCATTTTGAGGTTAAAATTGTTATTGGAAAGACGAAAAGGAATAAATCGTCAGGTAGTGATCAATTCCGGCAGAACTGATTCAAGCAGTAGGTGAAACGTTCTAAGATCCATAAGCTAATTAATTCTATTTGGGATTACAAAGACTTGCCTGATCAGTGGAAGGAGATTGTTATTGTACCACTTCACAAGAAAGGCAATAAAAGCGACCAGTAAGTATCGGGGGATATGATTCCTATCAACTTCATACAAAATTTTATAAAATATTCTGCTCTCAAGG